AAATTCTCACTTATTTCCGCCTTTGTAAAATTTCAAATTTCCCCAATTTCATAAATATGCCTCACACACATTTGTCGTATATATATATATATGTGTACGCATATATCATTCTCAACAATTGTTATTTATTCCGCATTTATTAAATGTCAATGCCTGGCTTTTCAATGTTTCCCACCCCAAAGAAAAATACAACAACAATAAAATACTGTTTTAGAATCACATAATTCAAATGGACAGCTACTAAAAAAATCGAAAAGAAAAAAAACAACCGTTGCTTTTGACCAATTTTGGACGAGTCGATTCAATTGTTTTTCTGTTTTATTTTTTTTTTTCAAATATTTTTATTTCCAATTGTTTAACAACATTTTGCGTAGCATTTCCATGTACCGAGAGCGGAGTGAGTGGGTCCAGTCATTTTAATACGGCATACGGGTGACACAAAGCCACTTCACTATTTTTTTTTTTTTTTTGCTATTTTGAAAGCTCAAACGCTAAGCACGTTAGTTGATCCCACCATATTGGGAAAAACGAGACAACTAATTAATTATCCAAAGACAGCAACAACAACAACTAAATATAATAAAAATAAATATAATAAATACACATAGGAATGTAATGGGAATATACTATATAGAATTTCCAACATACATACCTATGTGTGCATGTCCGTCCGTCCCGCCTGTCTATCGATGATCTGTCTAGTTTAGCTACTTTGTAACACAATTCAATTCTAAGCCCCAAATCCAGCCTGGATGTGTGGCTGCCACCATCATCAGCAGCAGCACCACATTGGCGTGCCAACATCGTGGCGTTACAAGTCATGAGCAAGTGAGTGTGTGCGTATGTGTGTGTGTTCGAAAAAAAAATCAAATCATTTCCACGTTTTCTATGCAATTGGCAAATTGCATTTCAATTTTTGTTGTTGTTGTTTTTGTTGTTATTATGCACATTGAAACATGTGAACGAAGCTGCTGACAAGACCAGCGAACATGCGGGTATGTGCTATTTCAGATTCTGTGTCAGTTTCAGAATTTTAATTCAAAACCAGAATTGGAGATGGAAACGGCATTGAAATACTCTACAGAGCTAGAAAAAATTTTACAAAAAAATACGCCTCGGTTGGGATTTAAAAAAATGTTTTTTTTTAAAAACTAAAAAATCCAAAAAAAATATTTTTTTTTAGAAAATCAAAAAATCCAAAAAAACTATTTTTTTAAAAAATCCAAAAAAACTATTTTTTTTAAAATCCAAAAAAATATTTTTTTAAAAAATCCAAAAAAAATATTTTTTAAAAAATCCACGCCTTAAAAAAATATTTTTTTTTTAAATCCAAAAATCCAAAAAATATTTTTTAAAAAATCGAAAAATCAAAAAAAAAAATTTAAAAAATCCACGCCTTAAAAAATATTTTTTTTTTAAAAATCCAAAAAATATTTTTTTTTTTAAAAAACCACGCCTATATTATGCACCCCAAAAAATATTTTAAAAAAATCCACGCCTTGAAAGAAATATTATAAAAAAAAACCACGCCATGAAAAAAAATATTTTAAAAAAATCCACGTATTGAAAAAAATATTTTTTTTTTAAATACGCGCCTTGTATAGGATCATATCACATCAACACAAAATATTTTTAAAAAATCCACGCCTTGAAAAAAATATTTTTAAAAAAATCACGCCTTGATTTTTTTTTTAAATCCACACCTTGAAAAAAATATTTTTAAAAAAATCCACGCCATGAAAAAAATATTTTTAAAAAAATCCACGCCATGAAAAAAATATTTTTAAAAAAACCTCGCCAAAAAAAAATTTAAAATCCACGCCTTGAAAAAATATTTTTAAAAAACCACGCCTTCAAAATATATATATTTTTTTAAAAATCCACGCCTTGAAAAAATATTTTTAAACAATCCACGCCCTCAAAAAATATTTTAAAAAATCCACGCCTTCCAAAATTTTTTTTTAAAATTTGTTTTAAAAAAAAAATAGATCTCAAAAACTAGACCTTTTTAAAAAAATCCACACCCGTTAAAGGTCCTTCAAAAAATATATATTTTTTTTAAATATATTTTTTTAATCCTTCAGAAGTATTTTTAGCCCTTTGAACCCCAACCCCAATTTAAAGAAATTAAAACAACAATAAAACTATGTCAGTGTTATTTTCCAATAACAAAAAAAATCCACCAACAAGTATTCAAAATACAACCCCCATGAGGTAGGGTGTCATTTGACATGACTCCCGACACAACACATGACTTGATTTCAAATACATGTTTCGGATTTGATTTTTTTTCTCAATTTCTTTCTGATTTCTTGATTTGGTGTAGCCAGTATTTGGATTTGGATTTCTAATGACATTCAGTATTTTATTACATGTTTACAGTTACAATAACACTTAAAAGTAGTTGTAGTTTTTTTTATTTTTTTCTTTTTGTTGTTGTTGTTAAAAATAAAGATACGATGTACGGATAGATTTACATTTACGATATTTCATGGTTGGATTTTTTTCCGCTGCTGCAGTTGATTTTTTTTTCTGTATATATTTAAAATTTCTATACATTTTATATATATTATTTATATATGTTATACATATAATACATTACATTACAATATATATATTTTTGTTTCCTTTATATATAAATAATTATTTTAGTTATGATATTTGTGTGTATATATAATTTTTTTTATTGGGAGGTTAGATTCGATTTTGTCACATTTTTTGTAGTTTCCCCACTTTTTCTGAGGCAACTTTGGATAGGAATGGAGGTGTTAGAGATCTGCGGATACGGAAAATATCCGGATCCGAGTAAAAAATTATTTCGATCCGGAAAAATTCTTTCGGATTCGGATAATATTTTTTATAGAAAAAATTTATCCGGACCGGATAATATTTTTTTCTATGGAATAATTTTATCCGGACCGGATAATTCTTTTTGTAAACATTTTATCCGCATCGGATAATATTTTTTATAGGAAAATTTTATCCGGACCGGATAATATTTTTTATAGGAAAATTTTATCCGGGGATTTTATCCATGGGGATAATATTTTTTTATAGAAAAATTTTATCCTGACCGGATAATATTTTTTTATAGAAAAAAATTTATTCCGACCGGATAATATTTTTTTATATAAAAATGTTATACGGACCGGAGAATATTTTTTAATAGAAACATTTTATCCGGACCGGATTATAATACTTTTTATGGGAAAAATATTTTCTCGGATAATTTTTTATGAGGACCGCTTAATATCTTTTTATAGAAAAATTTTATCCGGAGCGGATAATATTTTTTTTATAGAAAAACTTTATCAGGACCGGATAATATATTTTTATAGAAAAACTTTATCAGGACCGGATAATATCTTTTTATAGGAAAATTTTATCCTGACCGGATAATATATTTTTATAGGAAAATTTTATCCGGACCGGATAATATTTTTAATAGGAAAATTTTATCCGGACCGGATAATATTTTTTATAGGAAAATTTTATCCGGACCGGATAATATTTTTTTATAGAAAAATTTTATCCGGACCGGATAATATTTTTTTATAGAGGAATTTTATCCGGACCGGATAACATTTTCTATAGGAAAATTTTATCCGGACCGGATAACATTTTCTATAGGAAAATTTTATCCGGACCGGATAACATTTTCTATAGGAAAATTTTATCCGGACCGGATAACATTTTCTATAGGAAAATTTTATCCGGACCGGATAATATTTTTTATAGAATCATTTTATACGGACCGGATAAAATTATATTTACCGGATAAATTATATTTCTATTTTTTCTACAAAAAATGTTTTTCAATATTATAAAATATACGGATAACTTTTTCTATAGGAAAACTTATTTTTCTATAGGAAAAACTTACCCAGATAACTTTTTCTATAGGAAAAAATTATCCGGATAACTTTATCTATAGGAACAAATTATACGGATAACTTTATCTATAGGAACAAATTATACGGATAACTTTTTCTATAGGAAAAAATTATCCGGATAACTTTATCTATAGGAACAAATTATACGGATAACTTTATCTATAGGAACAAATTATACGGATAACTTTTTCTATAGGAAAAAATTTTCCGGATAACTTTTTCTATAGGAAAAAATTATCCGGATAACTTTTTCTATAGGAAAAAATTATCCGGATAACTTTTTCTATACGAAAAAATTATCCGGATAACTTTTTCTATACGAAAAAATTATCCGGATAACTTTTTCTATAGGAAAAAATTCGGGGCCTCAGCTTCTGAGGCTATTTTTCTTTTTCTATAGGAAAAAATTATACGGATAACTTTTTCTATAGGAAAAAATCATCCGAATAACTTTTTCTATAGAAAAAATGATTCGAATAACTGTTTCTATAGGAAAAATTTTATCCGGATAACTTTTTCTATAGGAAAAACTTATCCGCATAACTTTTTCTATAGGAAAAAATTATTCGTATATTTTTTTCTTAAAAATGTGTCCGATATTTTTTTTATTATCGAAAATATCCGTATGTTTTCTATAGCAAAATAATCCGCTTAATTGTTTCTCCCTGCTTTCTCTATTGCCCTATTTTCTCTTTCACTCTCACTCTCTCTCTCGTAGTGTTGCCAATTACAGTTCTCTTTAGATTTTGTTAAGGATCCCCGATTTTCAATTCCCTTCCACATTTTTTAATTTATAAATTACTTTTTTTTGTTTCTACTTCCTCCTCCTCTTTGTCTTCTTCTTCGTCTAATGATAAGTTTCCATGATTTGCACATGTTTGTCCCTATTTTTCATTTTTCTTTTGGTGATATTTTTTTAACAATATTTGTCTTTCTCATATGTTTTGAATTTTCTTCTAATGTTGTTGGTTTTCAGGATTTTTGTTTTTGTTGTTGTTATTTAATAATAGTATAAATAAAGCTGTTTGTTTTTTGTTGATTTGTGGTTGTTGTCATGGTTTGTCTGCCTTTGTCGCCAACGTCTCATTCTCGCTCCCCAGGCTATCCTTACAATGTGCTCGCCTCCTTGTGCGGTATATTGTTGAGACCCACATCGGGATTACGCCAATAATAGTTGGGAGGTCCCTGACTAAAGCAGTATTTCATGTTCAGCGGTTCATCATTCTCCACATAGTACATCAGATAGAAGTTGCACATTTCATCGTTGTTGGTGGCGCTGCAAAATTTTACAAAAGAGCGGGGTGATTTAGAAAAATTAAAAAAAAATGAATTGTTTTCCTTACCCAATTTCCGTTACCCGTTTCCTATGACTCTCCATGGTACATCTCGCCGCAATAAAATCACCCTTAACTATGGGTTCATTATTCATGACGGGATAAAACATTTGAGGTGTCAAAGGATCCCTTTTGCCCAGCAAAGTCCAATGATTCATGCCATGATCATCGGTGCGGACCCGGTAACCTGATACGACCTTGCCCAAACTATGTGTATGTGTCCGATAGGCAATCGGATGTATGGTTTTATTTTCATTGATTTCGCACGCGGTTTCCATATGTTCAATAGACATGGGTGGGATGACACCAGCGGTACCCATAAGCAGGACACCAGCCAATTTGTTCATGCTATGGAAAAGACAAAGAAAGAAATAAAAATTAATTTGGTGGAATTTATGAAGAACATTTTTCTTTCAGACTTACGGTTTCTCGGTGTAGCGTATAAACACTCCAGAATCATCGGTGCTGCCATCTATTGGTAGAATCAGATTTTTAGAAAATTTCGTTTTTCTTTTAAAAATTTCTTAAAACTCACCCCTAAACTTGGCTATACTGGCATAATGGACCTGCAGAACAATATATTTAATGGGTGAGTCATATCCCACCTTAAAACCCACACCCTCAGGTAACTCCAGTTTGGGGGCATCTCTGGCCCAGGCATATAAAATCTGGAAAATAATTATATCAAATAATTTTTATTTTTAATTTGAGAAAAAAAATGCAACAGATCCATACCTGGGAATGTGATTGGACCCCACAAGGACTAGCTGTTTCTTCGGAAGACTTTTTAGCCATTTCACCGCAATTCCTGAAAAGAGAAAATGAGAGGAATCTTTTAGAATAAAGAATAGTTTTTCAAGGTCCATCCAATTCGTGGATTTTTAAAGAATAGTTTTTCAAGGTCCATCCAAGGCGTGGATTTTTAAAGAATAGTTTTTCAAGGTCCATCCAAGGCGTGGATTTTTAAAGATTCGTTTTTCAAGGTCCATCCAAGGCGTGGATTTTTAAAGATTCGTTTTTCAAGGCCCATCCAAGGCGTGAATTTTTAAAGATTCGTTTTTCAAGGTCCATTCAAGGCGTGGATTTTTAAAGAATAGCTTTTCAAGGTCCATCCAAGGCGTGGATTTTTAAAGAACAGTTTTTCAAGGTTCATCCAAGGCGTGGATTTTTAAAGATTCTTTTTTCAAGGTCCATCCAAGGCGTGGATTTTTCAAGAATATTTTTTCAAGGTCCATCCAAGGCGTGGATTTTTCAAGAATATTTTTTCAAGGTCCATCCACGGCGTGGATTTTTAAAGATTCTTTTTTCAAGGTCCATCCAAGGCGTGGATTTTTAAAGATTCGTTTTTCAAGGTCCATCCAAGGCGTGGATTTTTAAAGAATAGTTTTTCAAGGTCCATCCAAGGCGTGGATTTTTAAAGATTCGTTTTTCAAGGTCCATCCAAGGCTTGGATTTTTAAAGAATAGTTTTTCAAGGTCCATCCAAGGCGTGGATTTTTAAAGAATAGTTTTTCAAGGTCCATCCAAGGCTTGGATTTTTAAAGAATATTTTTCCAAGGTCCATCCAAGGCTTGGATTTTTAAAGAATATTTTTCCAAGGTTCATCTTCATTTCCGTATCAACTTACCACACAGTTTTACTTGATCCAGGTTCACCGCATCCATAGACCAGCATGTGATGCGCCGTATTCATCGTAGCATTGGGTTCATAACCAACTGGAAAAAAGTTAAAAAAATGAATAATTAATGACCCAATAAATCGTGAATATTCATTCGGACCATTTACCTATATAGTAGCTTTTTGTATAGTCCACTTTTATCGGTGTACAAAGATATAGTTCAGGCTGTATGAAATAAGAAATGCGAGAAAATATAAATGTTAAAAATATGGTACAAAATTGGTCAGGAGCCAATTTTATAAAATTGGTTATAACTATTGAAAGTCAAAAGGTGTCCATATTATAATTCTTGTTCTCTAGAAGACCCGTAACAGCATGGAAATCTATTCATGACAGAAATCAGATTACTTGTCAATGCAAATCTAAATATTCCACCCTCCTTCCTTTCTGCATTTCTTACTACAACCTCAAATTATGCCCCCACATCATTCTTGTCCCTTTTTACCATAGCTACCTCCCTTATCGCACATTACTGCCACTAATTACCGATTAAAGCCCTCTTTGGATTATCACGCATTATCGCTGTTTCTCAATTAAATCCTCTTTTTATTATTTCCCTCACTTAACGTCACGTCACATCACTCTTATCATCGTCATCGAACTCAGCTAATATTTTTCTTTGAACTTCGTACGGTATTCAAGTAGCCGACTTGACTCTACAAAATACCTCTTCACTTAGCTCAGTTACTTGCTTGCAGAATAACAATTAAAACGACACTCTCGATTCTCAATTAAAATCACGATTTTGTTGCAGACTACGAAATAACAACAACAACAGCATAAAAAACAACAAATCGTTTCTCGAGTGATAAGAACCAAATGGGAATTACCTCTCAACACCAATACAATATAAGCGAATGAAAATAACAAAATAAAGTGAGAACGTGTAAGAATCGATGAACATCATCTAGAAGATGATGGGGACAGTAGGATGTATCGAAAAAAATATAGAAATAAAAAAAATTTAAAATCCCCGCCTTTTTTGGGACCTCTAAAAAATATTTTTAAAAAATCCACTCCTTGTGTGGGACCGGGTGGCGTAGGGGATGATAGATACCAAGCAACGGCTCTTATTGCCTGTAACATGCCGAAGTCCAGGTTTATCTTGGTCCCTCTTTCATCTCAATTCTGGACACTGACCTCCCCGCGGTGTCACCTGGGGTAGCTATTTTTCATCACCCGTTGAAATAGTGAGCGTGCCGTGAGTTCACACATAAGACCTATAAAAAATGGGTTGAGGCGTCAGGTTAGTTGTCCACACTCGGAAAACCGAACCTACCATGAAAAAGCAAAGAAAAAGTAAACCAAACCCCCCAAATGTTAACGACCCCCGCAAATGTGCGCACGTTGTATAGAACAGGCGTAGTTTTCGCTTTGGCTGTATGTACTCAAGAAGTACAAAGCCGATATTATTGCCTTACAGGAAATTCGATGGAAAGGGACTGGCGTAAGTAAATCCGATGATTACGCCCTGTATTATAGCTGCCATGAAACGAGACATGAATTTGGCTGTGGATTTATGGTTAACAGAAGAATAAAAGACCTCGTCTCCAGATCCACTCCAGTAGATGAGCGAATTGCTAGATTCCGCATAAAAGCGAAGTTCTTCTACATCAGTGTTATTTGCGTCCATGCTCCGACCGAAGACAAAGATGAACAGACCAAAGACATATTTTTTGAGCGCCAAATCCTGGAAAAGACCCACGACAAACACATCGACACATACCACCTATTCGTCGACTATAAAGCCGCATCCGATAGCACTATCCGTTCAGAGGTGTTTAAAGCCATGTCTTCGTTTGGCATTCCTGCAAAATTAATACGGCTATGTAGGATAACTTTAAGTGGCACAAGGTCAGCAGTTAAAGTCGGAAAGGACCTATCGGAGCCCTTCAAAACCGAACGAGGATTTAGAAAAGGTGAAAGTTTGTAGGGTGACCTGCTAACATCCTGCTGGAAAAGGCCATACGAGACGCAAAGGTCAAAAGAAATGACACTCTGTAAACCAAACAACACTCGAACATTGCGAGCGGTAACAGGCACCTTTGAACAAATTGAGAAGCAGTCTGCCAAAGTAGGTCTGGCAGTAAACGGCGAGAAGACCAAGCTGATGGTATCAATGCGCAAGACGTCCAATAGGCTCGGACCAACTGTGGAATTTCAGAACTACAGCTTCGAGGTAGTTAAAGATTTTATATACCTTTGGTATCGCCATTAATAAAACGAAAGACATCAGTTTTGAAATTCGGAGAAGGATTGTGATGGCCAACCGATGCTAATATGGTCTAAGGAAGCAGTTTAGAAACAAGGCCAACTCCCGCAAGACTAAACTCGCACTTTACAAAACGCTGATACTACCGGGCTGTTATATGGATCTGAAGCATGGGTACTTGCGCAAACAGATGAGGCAGCTCTTGGGGTGTTTGAAAGAAAATTTCTCCGAAAGATCTACATCGAATCGAATGAACCACGAGTTGTACATTTATACGCGGACATCGACATACTCAGTCGTATTGAGCTGCAGCGACAACGATGGCTAGGCCATGATGGACGAATGAATGAGAACTACTGATGGTTCCCGTAGAAGTGGAAGGCCACGAATCAGATGGAAAGACCAAGTGGAAAACAACATTGGAACATGGTCTTTCAAATTGGAGGAGGTGCGCACAAGACCGACGCGCTATATTTAATCCATGCCTTGCGACCTTTAAAAAATATTTTTAAAAAATCCAGGCCTTGGGACCTTTTCTTTTTTCCGATACGACCTATTGTATTTTCCTATATATTTTTAAATTTCTACATGATTAGTAAAATAATAAATTTGCGGTGTGCATTTCGAAGTAAAAAATCCGTATTCTAGTCATGAACCCGAACCATTAGTAACAAAATTAATTATTTTTTTCGAATTTTTTGGAAGAGGTAAGGGAAGGAAGAAAAACAAATAAAAGAAAAACACACACAAAAATACGGGATACAGACACATTTCAAAAATCCAATAACAGGTACCAAAAAACGAGAATTCTAATTGTGTGGGTCGTCTTCCACCTAACAAAACCAGGTGAAAAGAGGTGGCGGTGCATTTAGGGTTTTCACCGGAGTGTGTGCGTGTGTTTCGCTCTTATTAACCGGGCATAGAACACAATACACCTTATGGAAATAAAACACTTGTCAGTTATTGTCAATAATCATCGAACAGAAAAATAAAATAAATAACTGAAGTTCCGATAAATAAGTCTAGATAACCAGCTGCTGTTCGTCGTTGACTATTTGCATACGTGTGTAATGTGTGCGGATCCCATTGTTCTATGCCCTGATTCTCTATACAATATCTGGAAATAATAAAAACTGCCACCTGTTAAGTTCGAGGCGGCCTACAATAATTGCAAAAAAGTTTTAGTTGTTGTTGATTATTAGGGGGTAGGAGGGATGGGGGATTTTGTGGCAGTTAGTGGAGAGATGTTGGGATTTGATTACTCTGAAGAATTTCCAGGAGGTCAAAGTTGAGCCATATTGTTCTGTTGCGCGCCTACTGCTGTGATTCCCTTTGCAAATTAAAATTTGCCTCTCTGTGTGTGTGGGTGCACATCTATGTGGGTGTAATTTTTTTGCCAAGGGGGTTGGAGTTTGGGAGGAATTAATTTTAGTTATGTTTGGCTGGGTGTTTGACTTACCGTTTTTGGCCGCACATTTGGCATCAGAAATGGAAATTTCCCAACTTCGTGATTTAACTGCTCCCGCATCTGTTCATTGTAGACGGAATTATATTCATCGTCATCCAAGATACCATATGTTGGCTGCCAGCAACTGGCGGCCAATACCATTAAAGCTGTTAACACTTGTAGCCATCGTAGATGTGACATCCCTGAGTAAAGTGGCATTTTTGTCGTTCAAGAGTGTGTTGATGTGTGTGTGTGTCTGTGTAACGTTGGAAATTTTTTTGTTGTTTCCCTTTGCCTTTGGCTTTTCTTTTATTTTTGTGTATTCCAAACAACAGATGGGGAATTTTTTGAGGGAGATTTTTTTTAGATTTTTGTTTAGTATTGTTGTTGTATTTTTTCTTGTTTTTAATTTTTTTACAATGTAACACTTTGTTGTTGTTTTGGTAATTGTGACTATTATTGGCTTAAACCATAAATTTGTTGTATTGACATTTGTGTGTGTGTGTTGAAAAATTGACACTAAATTTTTATTTAATTTCTATTCACTTTTCGTTTCTCCTCCCTTCGTATGATGTGCGTAAAATAGTATGTCCACCAACAATTATTAAAAATAATTTTACAAAATAATAATTTGTTTTTTGAAAAACAATATGTGCACTTTTCTATAATTTGTTTTCTAAATATATAATTTTTTTTTTCTTCTCCTCCGTTCTCTGTTCTGTGCTATGCGTTACTAAGAGTTTTGTTATTTCCAGCCTTCCGTCCGTAGTCTGTGGTCGGTCGTTCGTTGATTTATTTGTTATGTATAACTCTCAGTATTCTCAGAGCTCAGTGGTATATATATGAGCTCAGAGCCAACCAACCAGCCAGCCAACCAACCGATGTGTCAAAAAAGATAACCAAAAAGATGCTAAAACGGAACAGTGTGGGAAATGAAACCGTTGATGTGAACATGAAACACTGTCAAAACATATAGCCATGCCAACAAACAGCGAGGCACACACACACACATACCCATGCATTAATGGTGGCTTAGCCAACATACCGGGGTTGTTATCAGGCTCTCTCTCACACAGAAAGAGAGAGAGAGAGACAAACAGAAAACAAAACAAGAGGCTTGAATAATTAGACAGCCAACCAACCTGTTATGGTATTTCCAGTTTTTGACTGGGGAGAGTTGTTGTTGGCTGGCCTACCACAACTCACCACTTATTGTTGCACTCTTTGGCCCGTTATTTACAAACTCTCTCATAATTAACTCTCAAACAGCTGTTGCCACTGCTTTACCAAAAGCAACAATGTAATGGAATTTTAATATCCGGTTCCTTAAGATAAACATACATGGTTGCATTTGAAGAAGTGGCATTTTTAGAACTTCTCAAGAAGGCTAGAAGAATATATGCCCAATGATTGGAACATCCTGTGTCCCCTACACAAAAAAGGAGACAAGACGATATGTGCCAACTATAGAGGAATAAGTCTCCTTCCCTTCGCATATAAAGTGTTATCCAGCGTACTGTTTGATCGACTGAAGCCAATAACATTATTGGACCATACCAATGTGGCTTCAGACCTGACAAATCCATCATTGGCCAGATTTTCAAACTGCGCCAAATCCTGGAAAAAATCCACGAAAAACATATCGACACATTCCACCTATTCGTCGACAATAAAGCCGCATTCGACAGCCCTATTCGTTCAGAGGTGTATAAAGCTATGTATGCGTTTGGCATTCCTGCAAAATGAATACGGCTATGCAGGATAACTTTAACAGGCACAAGATCGGCAGTTAAAGTCGGAAACGAGCTCTCGGAGCCTTTTAATACCGAACGAGGATTCAGACAAGGTGGCAGTTTGTCGTGTGACCTTTTTAACATTCTGCTGGAAAAGGTCATACGAGAGGTAAAAGTGAACAGAAATGACACTCTGTACACCAAACAACACATCTTACTCGCCTACGCCGATGACATCGACATAATGGGTCGAACATTGAAAGCGGTAACAGCCACCTTTGAACAAATTGAGAAGGAGTCTGCCAAAGTGGGTCTGGCAGTAAACGGCGAGAAGACCCAGCAGATGGTATCAACGCGCAAGACGTCCAGTAGACTCGGACCAACTGTGGAACTTGAGAACTACAACTTCGAGGTAGTCAAAGATTTTATGTACCTTGGTACCTCCATAACTAAAACGAATGACATTAGTTTTGAAATTCGGAGAAGGATAGTGATGGCCAACCGGTGCTACTATGGTCTGAGCAAACAATTCAAAAGCAAAGCCACCTCCCGCCAGACCAAACTCACACTGTACAAGACGCTGATACTACCCGTGTTATTATATGGATCTGAAGCATGGGTAATTACGCAAGCAGATGAGGCAGCTCTTGGAGTGTTTGAGAGAAAAATTCTACGAAAGATCTATGGACCAATCTGCGTTGACGGTGAATATCGCCGTCGAATGAACCATGAGTTGTACCAGCTATTCTCGGACATCGACATTGTTAGACGTATTGAGCTGCAGCGACTACGTTGGCTAGGTCATGTTGTGAGAATGGATGAAGATGCCCCAGCCCAGAAGGCATTTAAAAGCCAACCAGCTGATCGTTCACGCAGAAGGGGAAGGCCACGAATACGATGGAATGATCAAGTCGAAGACAACATTGCCGAAAATGGTCTCTCAAATTGGAAAAACTGCACAAAAGACCGACGCGCCTGGAAATCTTTTCTAAGCTCGGCTTATGGATCGAAAGTTCTGCCACAAGCAGGCTAAGTAAGTAAGTAAGTAAAGAAGTCGTGGATTTTTTAAAAAAAATATTTTAGGGGCCCACCAGAGGCGTGGATTTTTAAAAAAAATATTTTTAGAGGCCCACCAGAGGCGTGGATTTTTAAAAATGGATTTTTATAGGCCCACCAGAGGAGTGGATTTTAATAAATGGATTTTTAGAGGCCCACCAGAGTCGTGGATTTTAATAAATGGATTTTTAGAGGCCCACCAGAGGCGTGGATTTTAAAAAATGGATTTTTAGAGGCCCACCAGAGGCGTGGATTTTGAAAAAAAGTATTTTTAGAGGCCCACCAGAGGCGTGGATTTTGAAAAAAAGTATTTTTAGAGGCCCACCAGAGGCGTGGATTTTGAAAAAAAGTATTTTTAGAGGCCTGAAATGTTTTCCAGTTGTACATATTTTTACCCTAATTATGGGGATATATTTTTTTCTTGGGGGCGTATCCGGTTACCCGGTTATTTGACCAGGAAGTTCGGGTACGGCTACCCGGTTATAACCGGTTCTACGGATCCGGTTAATATAAAATGGGTATTATTTTAAAGGCTATAAAAATACCTTTCTATGGTCAGATACCAACACCGGCTACGCGACAGAATTTCCTTGTTTTTGTAGGGTTCTAAGGCCCATATCTTTTGATCCACAACAGATACAGCCACATATCGCACCATTTTGGAAAGGTAAAATTGTGGTCTATCATGTGCGACAATAGTGGACCCAAGTTCGACTTTTAGGGTGTTTTTCAAAAAAAAAAAAAAAAAAAATCGGGTACCAAAACCCAGTTGTTTGACTGCATCTCCAAAACAGTTTGAGATAACCCCATCAAATATTAACCGGATCTGTAGAACCGGATATAACCGAGTACCCGTACCCCAAGAAAAAAAAATATCCCCATAATTAGGGTAAGAATACCTACCTCTGGAAAAAATTTGAGAAAAATCTGATCGTTTTTACTAAACAAGAGTTGTTCCAAAATATTTTTTAGAGTTCCTTACTACGGCGTAGATTAAAAAAAAAAGTATTTTTAGAGCTCCTAAATAAGGCGTGGATTTTTTTAAAGCTACTTTAAAAGACAAAAAAGCTGTTATTATTTTTTTTAAATTAATATTTATTAAATAAATTAAATATACAATTTTAATTGTTTTTATGTTTTTATTTTGTTTATAAATAATTTTAATTTGAGTATTTTTTTTTATTTAAAATTTATTTGATTTTTCATAATTTTTTTAAACAAAAATTTCCATATCCAATATTTAAATATTTTTGTTAACAAATTATTTTTTTAGATTTAAAGCTTGGCTTTAACAAAAACAAAAATCAAAAAAAATTAATTTTCTATACAAATTTTTAATGATTAATTTCTTCTTCTTCATCCTCCACCTCCCCTCCTCTTCGAAAAAAGAAACTAGGAAGGTTCACATGTTTTGAATTAGTTGTATGATATGTTTTAAGGTTTTTAGTTTTCCATTTCCTTGGTTGAAATGTTCGTTGTTTGTCGTTGTTTGAAATGTGTGGACGTGTTGTGTATGGCGGCGGTTTGGACTGATGATGTTGAGAGATGTTGTGAAATGTTCTGAGTTGTTTCCTGTTGCAGGTTACCACTCCTTCCCCTTCATCATTTTTTTGCTCCAGAATTACAAATTGTTAATTGTTGTTCTTGTTGTTGTTATTATTATAAATTAAATAATATTATTAGAAAAAGTTAGGTTAATGCATGGGTTTAATAGGTGGTGAAGAGCTCCTCCTGTATGCTATTGGATCGCAGCAGCTGTGATGGTGTTGGTCCACCTTGGATGGAGGCCAGTTTGGGCGAAGCACTGGAAGATTTTTGTGAATGATATTCATCGCTGAATTCCTTGAGGCGATTGCCCAAGAAATGTGCCCGCTCACGTTTCTTCACCATATAGTCGGAGGACATCAGCCATCTGTGTTCCTGACAGTCTTCGGTGTATGGACGTTTGCTGGAAGTGGGGGAAAAAGAAGAAGAAAATGAGGGGAAATGTTAAGAATACTGGACATACGACAAAAATAGAAAAATATATGTATCTAAGTGATATAGATAATGTATCTATGGTGTTTAAATGGTGTAGATATTTTATTTATGTTGTTTAAATAATCTAGATAATGTATCTACGCCGTTTAAATGACTAGTTAACTTATCTAAGAGTCGTAGATAATGTAGTTAATTTATCTATGATTTGTAAATAATGCACATAATTTATCTATGTTATCTAAATGGCGTAAATTATTTATCTATGGTGTTTAAATGACATAGATAATTTATCTATGTAGTTTAAATAACCCAGATAATGTTTCTACGCCGTTTAAATGACTAGATAGTTCATCTATGAATTGTAAATAACGTAGATAATTTATCTGTGACTTGTTAATAATGCAGATAATGTAAATATGTTGCCTAAACGACGTACATAATTTATCTATGTTGTTAAAATAATGCAGATAAATTATCTATGTTATCTAAAAGACGTAAATTATTTGTTTATGGTGTTTAAATGACGTAGATAATTTATCTATGTTGTTTAAATAACCTAGATAATGTATCTACGCCGTTTAAATGACTAGATAACTTGTCTATGAGTTGTAGATAACGTAGATAATTTATCTATGAGTTGTAAATAACACAGATAATGTATCTACGTTGTCCAAACGACGTAGATAATTTATTTATCTTGTTAAAATCTAAATGACATAAATTATTTGTCTATGGTGTTTAAATGACGTAGATAATGTATCTACGTCGTATAAATAACTTAGATAATTTATCTACATTATCTAAGTAATTTTTCTACATCATTTGAATGTCATAGAAAATATATCGACATAATTTTAATGATGTAGATAATGTATATACGTTATCTAAGTATCTCAGATAACGTATTTACGTATCTAAATGAAATAGATAATATATCACTGTACTCTAACTAAATCAGATAATTTATCTAAGTTATCTAAATACCTTAGATAATGTATATACGCTATCTAAATGCCTTAGATAATGTATATACCTTATTCAAGTACCTTAGATAATAATCTACGTTATCTAAATAATGTAGATAATGTATCTGCATTATCTAAACAATGTAGATAATGTATCTACATTATCTAAACAATGTAGATAATGTATCTACATAATCTAAATACCTTAGATAATGTATCTACGTCATCTAAATACATTAGATAATGTATCCACGTTATATAAAAGTCTTAGATAATGTATCCACGTTATCTTAATACCTTAGATAATGTATCTACATTGTTTAAATACATTTTTGATAACGTATCTACGCGATCTTAATTCATTAGATAATGTATTCACGTTATCTAAATGTCTTAGATAATGTATATAAATTATCTAATTATGTTAGATAATGTATCTATGTTATCTATATGCCTTAGATAATATATCTTCATTGTCTAAATACATAAGATACGTTATCTAAATACCTTAGATAATGATCAAAGTTATCTAAATACATTAAATAATTTATCTACGTTATCTTAATGCCCCAGATAATGTGTCAGAGTCATCTGAATTGTTTAGATAATGTATATACGTTATCTAAATAACATAGATAATGTGTATACGTTTTCTATATACCTTAGAAAATTTATCTAAGCTAGATAAATAACATAGATAATTTATCTACATTATCTAAATAACCTCATTCCTTTCAAAAATATCTTTTTTTCGATTTTTCTCAACTTACTGTGGTTGACGTTTGAACAGGAACATAATAAATCTCGTAGCTTCGGGTGTCACCTCACTGAAGAGGTTTTCAAATCTATAACGGACATAGGCAATATTCTGCTTAGTTTCATGTTCATCGACACCACGGAAAGGACTAGTGCCCGATAGCAGCAAATAAGTGAGAACGCCCACAGACCAAATATCAGTTTGTGGGAATACTGGCTCTTCCATAACCATTTCGGGGGCTTGGAATTCCAAATTACCGCATGGTCGAACTTGAACGCCGAGTTTATTGACACGCTTCGTGCAACCGAAATCGATGAGTTTAACTTGTACCGAACGCACCGAAGCCATCACGACATTATCGGGTTGAATATTCAAATGGGCATAACCACGCCAGTGCAAGTATTGCAGAGCATCCAACAGCTGGAAGATAACGGTCGCAACCATTTGTTCGGTGTATTGATGACGTGAGCTGAAATAGGTCAAAACATCAGCACCCTGCAATTTCTCCATAATGAAAATGGCAATGGGCACATTCAATGGTTTGTAGGCGGCAAACAAGGCAGGAATACGTTCGTGTCTCAGTGTCTTAAAGTTATCGAATTCCGCAACGATATCCTCTTCATTTTGATCGGTGATTTCAAAGATCTTGGCGACAACAACGGCGTCACTGGACTTCTGGATACCCTTGACAATGGTGGAGAATTCACCGCGGGCAATTTCCGAAATAAAGCTGTACTTTTCATTGACCGAATGATCGGTTACCCAGTTGGGTGGTTCGCGTTCGCAGTGATAATCGGTGTGGACACGCTCCTCCTCGGGCAAGACTTCGTGACCACTTTCGGTCATCTGTTGTAAATGTTTCATGGCCTTGGTAATGTGGATCTTGGCGGCATCGTGGCCACCGGTGGAGGCGCTAATTGGTATACCCATATCACTCCAGCCAATACGATTTCTGGAGGCCAAACGGAATTGGTATTGGGTGTTTGGCTGCAAATCATGCACCAAATAGAACTCGTGATCGATGTTATCGGCAATTGTGGTCCAGGCATCGGCATCAGCTCGCTTATATTGCAAACTGTAGCATAGAACGGAGGTGTGGCCATCGTCACGTGGTTGTTTCCAACGCAACAGAATCTCGGTGGCGCTGACCGCAGAAATTTCAGGCGAATCTGGAGCATCGGGCAGCGTGGCAATGACGACACGACATCTAGCTACAGTCTGACCAACCTTGTTGCGAGCTACACATTTGTAGACACCGACATCGAACTGCATGGCGGGCTCGAAGCGCAAAATCGAGCGACCATCCTCATCGGTGTGGAACTTAATGCGGCTGCTTTCAATCAACACCATATCGTTCTTGAACCATTGGACACTGGGTTTTGGATCGCCAACGGCGAAGCAGTGGACATGGGCAGGTTGACCCTCAGTGATAGCCAGCGATTGTGGCTTCTCGCGGAAGAATGGAGGATAACCTTCACGTTTCGATGAAATCATAGCCTCAGCTTCGGTATATTCATCGAGACGAGGACCCAACTCTGTACGCAAGCGGCGAATGGTATAGGAGTCTTGAGCTGAATACATGCTAATACGACTACGAGTACGTTCATCGTCGATTTCTTCATCCATGATATCGGTGAAGCGACGACGTTCACGAATAATGGGCAGAGACCAATCCAAGCTTTCATTGGCTGCGAAAGATGGCGATCTGCGGTGGGCCACCTTCATGTATTCACGCAAACGTACTGGGAAGCTGACATCACGCAATTGCAGGAGATAGGTATCGGGACCATATTGATAGCTAGAGAAAAAGCGATGGGAGAGAAGAATATTAATTAATTGTTCTCTTTCGAAATTCAGATCAAACATTTGAAGCCAGCGAGCGAAAACAAAGCTTAAGTCGTCCTGCAACCGACTTCTTCATACCCTCGCAACTCAGCGGGGTGTAATTTGGAACTTTGGGGGATTTTTGAACTCCAAAAAATAGATAATTTATCTGCACTATACAGATAAATCGAAATAGCTAATTGATGTATATCATCTACAAAATCTAGATAATGTATCTATGACATCTGAATCGCATATATTATCTATGCGATTCGTTTTTTTTTTCTATGTTATCTAAATACCATAGAAATTATCTACGTTATCTAAATAACGTATCTATATAGCGTAGATAATGTATATATGTTATATAAGTAGCGTAGATAATGTATCTATGTTATATAAATAGCACAGATAATGTATCTATGTTATATAAATAGCGTAGATAATGTATCTATGTTATCTAAGAAATTTAAAAAATATGTATGTTATGTAAATAGCGTAGATAATGTATCTACATTATGTAAAAAGTACAGATAATTTATCTACGTTATCTTAATAAAGTAGATAATGTATCTAAATAGCGTAGATAATGTATCTACGTTATCTAAATAGAGTAGATAATGTATCTGCGTTATATAAATAGCGTAGATAATATATCTATATAGCGTAGATAATGTATCTACGTTATCTAAATAGCGTAGATAATGTATCTGTGTTATATAAATAGCGTAGATAATATATCTATATTATCTAAGAAATATAAAAATTATCTATGTTATCTAAATAACCTAGATAATGTATCTACTTTATCTAAATAACACAGATAATTTATCTATGTTATCTAAGAATACTAGATAATGTTATCAAGATAACACACAAGTTGTATCTACGTTATCTAAGTAACGTGAAAATTGTCTGCGTTATCTAAATAACATAGATGGTGTATCTGCGTTATCTGTGCAACGTAGACAATGTATCTATGTTATCTAAAGTACGTAGATAGTGTATCCATAATTTATCTATGTTATCTAAACAACGTAAATAAACGAAGCACAGAATATACGGTATCAATAATATCTAAATGAACATAGATAATTTATCTAAACACATTTCGATGAAAAAAATCCATTTCCTCCCACTGAGTTGAGAGCAATCTCATTAGGCCCCTTAAAGCAATCTAAAGCAAACAAAAAACTGCTGCCATAAAAGCTGTAGCAAAAACAAAGCTCTGCTCCTTTCCTCTTTTCCGAGGAAAGGTGATCGGTCCCCATACTTACTGACTCTCCGATTGTATAATACCCAATTCATAATCCGGATGCAAGAATTTCGAATATGTCTCCACGCGTTTAGTGCGTACTCTTGGTTCGGGAGTACGTTCGGGAGTGTTCTCCGGCGTGTACACCAAACCGGGAGGATAGACCATTTTCGAGGGATGAGTCCAGCAGCCACTCAAACGGCGACGTCTGAAGTAATGTTTGCACGAAGCATTAGCATACCAATCACGGAAATCGTTGTAGTAATTTCTCAGACGATCGGTGTTGATACGATACTCATCGTCGGATACCTTGCGATCCAACATAAAGAACCATGGATGTCTCAAAGCGGTCTTTACATCCATACGCTCTTCAGGGCTGTAGACCAGCAGACGTTTAATGAAATCACGACCATCATCGGAAATGTGAGTCCAAATGGAATCACTGAAGTCCCAGTGGCCTTCCTTGATGCGTTGCAGAGTTTCACGATCATTGGCACCGCGGAAGGGATTATGTCCGGAAAGAAGGACATAGGTAATGACACCCACAGTCCACATGTCGTGAGAGAAGCTGACACCTTCCTTGTTGACAACTTCGGGAGAGACATACTCGGGCATGCCATAGTCCAGGGTGGTCAAGGCATGGGTGTGAATGCGGCGAGCCAAACCGAAATCGGAGATTTTCAGGTAATCACCACCCACAACGGAGATGAGGAGGTCCTTGATCTGAAAGGGAGAGAAGAAGAAGGTATTTTATAGACAACATAGGATATAGGAAATTTATCTTTGTACTCACAGTCAAGCCCATATGGCCCACACCATTTTCATGCATGTGCTCCAGGCCCCACAGGACTTGCCTGATGTAATGGGCAATATCTCTTTCACGATAATAGTCACGTCTCAACAAATTATCCCGCACCAATTCTCCACCAGCAGCCAGTTCCATAATCAGCGTAACATTGCGCTCCGTATCGTAGGCATCATGCAAGCGGATCAGGTTCTTATGGTTCAACATATTCATCATTTCCAATTCGTTCAACATGAATGGACGGATCTCCGATTTGCCATACATAATCTTGGCAGCATAATTGTCACCGGTTGCACGCTCCACAGCGTGATAGGTAATACCCTGAGTACCACGACCTAACTCATCACCGATATCGTATTTATCTTCGAAGCGGAAGTTCTTGGGACGAACATAAGGATGACGTCCATAGGTATTGAAGATATATTGATCCTCATTATCCTCAATGTGGACCATGACGGAGGAGCTGACACTACCGGCAATGTTGCGGGCACTAATCGAATAGAGGCCAGCATCCTTGAGGATACAATCGCTCAGCGACAGGATATATACATTGGGTTCAATGAAACGCATCTTGATGCGGCTGGTTTCGGCCAATGGTTGCCAGTCCTTGTACCAGCGGATCTCTGGGTGGGGAATGCCCACAACATGGGCCTCAATGCGGCCATTCTTGCGGGACATGATAAAGGTTTCCTCGGGACGCTTGGTGAAGCGGGGATATTCGGCAATTTCCAAACGGACACGTTGACGGGCCTCGCCATGTTCATTGGTGGCAACGGCTTCATACCAGCCAACATCGCGATCCAACATCCTAGAAAATAACAAGAAAATTAGTATCTCCAGTTCCGCACACCCTTCCTTCCTCTCTACACTTACTTATTAATGAACAATGTAGCCTGGCCATTACGGGTATAACTGTAATCGAAGCGGCCGCCGGGTTCAATCAACATATCATCGAAGTAATAGGTCATCTTGGGCTTAGGATAACCATAGACGAACCACATAAGTTCGGCATTGTGACCCTTGACGCCATAGCTGACATCATTTTCACGACGCAAGAACTGAGGAGCCTGTGCCATACCATCATGGGGTGGACATTCAATATCAAAGTCCTTGGGGAAGTAGGGCGATGTCTCTGGTCTAAAATCTACACCTGGTGCCAAATAGGTATAAGTCTTTGGTGGTTCGGGTACCAATTTCGATCTATAAGTTTGTACATATGGACTTGGATCGCTAACGCCAAATTTATTCTCTACACGCACACGGAAACGATAATCTCTGAAAGGTTCCAAATCGCCAACATTACAGGCACAGCTGCGAATGCCGGTGCGAATGGTACGCCAATCACCATCGGGTAAATTCAACATTTCCACTTGATAAGTGACGGGATAGCGGGGCATATTGGGCACAGATGGGCGCCAGGCCAATTGCAAATAACGATCGGTCATTTTCAAAATGACAGGAGCATCGGGCAGTGGGTTGGGCACTCCGGTGTGCTTGTATTTCTTGTAGTCACGATACTGATCGGCAATGGCACCTTGCAGAGGGCTGTCGACGGCTGTGGGATAAGGAAGAAATTTGGAAATGAAATAGTGGTTAAAATGGATAATGGTTATAAATCGTTTGGATACAAAGGATACTGATTCTATATGTTTCGGATAACACGGATAAAGGTTTTATATTACTCGGATAACATAGACAATTATTTTAGATTACTTAGATAAGCTAGATAATACATATTTTATATTAAATGACACAGATGAAGATGTGGATAACACGGATAATGGTTATATATTCGGATACAACGGATAATGGTTTTATATTGTCCGGATAAGCCGGATAAAGGTTTTATATTACTCAGATAACATGGACAATAATTTGGGATTGCTTAGATAACGTAGATAATGCCCGGATAATATGGATAAGAGGCTTTCTTTAATTTGGATAACATATAAAGGATTTTTATGTTTTATCCATGGTATGTGGGTAACATAAAACACCTATCCACATTGTCCATACGCCCTAAAACACCCTTTTATGATATACCCTTTTATGATATATATGTTTTCTATAAAGGATAATTGTTTTTTGGTTTCTCGGATAACGCGGATAATGATTTAGGTCATTCAGATAATGTGGATAAGGCATATTTGATGACTAGCTAATGTTTTGACGTCATCTAGATGACGTAGATAATGACAGCTGACATCTGGATAAGGTAGATAATAATTATACGTTATCCAGATATCGTAGATAATGATTCCACGTTATCCAGATAATGTAAATAGTAATTCTACGTTATCCAGATATCGTAGATAATGATTCCACATTATTCAGATAACGTATATATCGATTCTACGATATTCAATTAACATAGAAATTGATTTTACATTGTTCAGATAGCGTAGATAATTATTCCACGTTGTCAGGATAATGTAGGTAAAAATTCTAAGTTATCCAGATAACGTAGATAAGGTTTCTAAGTCATCCATATAAAGTAGATAATGATTCTATGTTATGCGGAGAATTTAGATAATGACTCTACATTATCAAGATAATGATACTAGGATATCTAGATAACGTAGATAATGAGTATACGTTACCCAGATAACATAGATAATGATTCTACGTTATTTAGATAACGTAGATAATGTCTATAGATTATCTAGATAAAGTGGATAATTATTTTATATTATTATTATTCTACGTTATCCAGATAACGTAGATAATGTCTCTACATTATCTAGATAACGTAAATAGTTATTTTATATTATCCAGATAACGTAGATAATTATTCTACCTTATACAGATAGCATAGATAATTGTCCTATGTTATTATCATAATGTAGATGATGATTCTACGCTACCCAGATAACATAGATAATGTCTACATATTATAGATAACGAACATAATTACTTTATATAATCCAGATAACGTAGATAATTGCCCTATGTTATTATGGTAACGTACATAATGATTATACGCTACCCAGATAACGTAGATAATGACTCTATGTTATGTAGACAACCCAGATAATGATTCTATGTTATGTAGATAACCCAGATAATGATTCTATGTTATCCAGATAACCTAGATAATTATTCTATATTATCCAGATAAAATAGATAATGATTATACGTTATCCAGATAACGTAGATACTTATTCCATGTTTTCCAGATAACGTAGATAATTTTTCCATTTTATTCAGATAACGTAGTTAAAAATTCTGCATCGTCCAGATAATTGATATTGTTGCGACATTATCTAGATAACGTAGACATTATCTAGATAAACTAGATAATGTAGATAATGGATATATGTTTTCCAGATAACGTAGATAATGTTTGTACATGATCAAGATAACGTAAATAATGATCCCTCATCATCCAGATAACGTAGATAATATCTTCAAGTTCACTAGATAACGTAGATAATTATTCTGCGTTATCCAGATAATGTAGATAACGATTTTGTGTTATTCAGATAGCATAGATAATGATTTTACGTTGTCTACATAATCTAGATAAGATTTTGATGTCATATGTATAACGTAGATAATACCTATATATTATCTAAGTAATAAAGATAATTTTCCATATTATCTAGATAACATAGATAATTATAATTTTATAAAATTTATTCTGGACTTACTGTCGAACAACAGCTCAGCTTCACACTGTTCATCGCCATGGGGATTGAAGACACGGCAGGTGTAGCGGCCAACATCCGATTCGTCGGCATTCTTGATGCACAGACGCATCAAGCCATTACCCTCAGTCTCGATGTGGATTCTATCGGTGGGGAATAATTTCTGGCCATTTTTGAACCATTCAACCTCGGGTTTGGGATAACCGGTGGCCATGGCGGTGAATTTGGCATCCATGCCGGGGTAGATATCACAATCGCCAATTTTCTTGAGGAAAACTGGTGGTTCGGAACGGGCATGTTTTTTGCTGCAAGGTGGAGAGAATGTTTTATTAGATGACGGATTTCTTTTAGGGGGAAGTAGGTTGGGGGACTTACATTTCATTGACAATATCCAAACGTCCCTGGGTAATATCCTTACCCTCCCGATTGGTGGCAATGCATTTGTACACACCCTTATCGCCATCGTTGCAGTCACGCACGGTCAGCGTGTGATGGTCACCATCATGTTTCATGTAGTACTTATCGCCATCCGCAATGGGCTTATCGTTGAAGAACCAGGTCAATTCCGGATATGGTACACCAGATACACTGACGGATATCTTGGCATCACCACCGTATACCTGCTGTTGGTCGGTAATCTTTTGTGTGAATACGGGCTTCTTGTAGACCTTGCGAACGTTGGCGTTGCAGGACGAAGTGTCCTCACCCAAAGGATTTGCCAACAAACAGCTGTACACACCGGAATCCGAAGTTTCGGCAGGGTTGATAATCAAGCCGACATGTTTGCCGTCACAGGTCATGAGGATACGCTCACTGGGTTGCAATTGAACGCCGTCCTTGGTCCAAATTGTCTCGGGCATGGGGTTGCCCAAGAAGGGAGCTGAAAGGGAGAGTTCTTGGCCCTCATCGGCATTGACATCGCGTAGAGCGGAGACAAAGCTGGGTGCCTCTTCGGCGGCATTTTCATCGGTAACGGGAGCCACAAAGAGTTTCGCCTTGGAGGCGGCACTGCCCTTGGGATTGGTGGCAATGACTTCGTAGAGGCCAGAATCGGCCACGGAAGGTTTTTCAATGATCAAGCTATATGTATGATCGGGATTTTCAATGATGGCATGATGTTTCTTGTCTTGGGGTGACAACTCGGTGCCATTGTGGAACCATTTGACTTCGGGTTGGGGATAGGCCACAACCTTGACATCCATTTTGACGGGGAAACCTTCAATGCTGCGGGCATCGGTGAGCTCGGCAACGAATTCGGGTTTGGTTTCCTTGGGCAATACCTGGACCTTGGCGACGCCCTTGATTTCACCTTCCTTGTTGCTGATGAGGCACTTGTAAATGCCGGCATCTTGGGGAGTGGTGGCATCGATGCTGGAGGGAAGGAGAAGAGAGGAGAAAATTGGGTTAGGGGTCCCTGGAGTATGGTGGTGGGGAAAAGTCGCCTTACCTAATACCAATCTGGCCATTGGGATTGTTGATGAAATTAATGGCCTGGCTGGGACGCAACAAGACCTCATCCTTGTACCATTGGATTTCGGGGGCAGGGAAACCGACCACGGTGGCTTCCAATTTCAAAGGTTCGCCCACGGTGATCTTTTGGTCCTGGATGGGTTTTACAAAGCTGGGGGTCAAGGGTTTGGCTGTAACGCAAAAAAAATTAAATTTAGGGAGCCTGAGAAAGATGTGGGGCGAACTTCGCTATACTTACGGCTAACAGCCACGGCACAGAGGGCCACCTTCTTGCCATGCTCATTGGTAATGGCCAGTTTGTAGGCTCCCGAATCATTGGGCTGGCATTCCTCAATTTCCAATTTGCACAGACCCTGGGGAGTGGTGGTGATTTTGATGCTAAAGGGAGGAAAGATGAAGCGGATTAATTAAAAAATCCCTGTTTAACCCTATTCGGTTCCACTCACTGTTCGGTAGGCTTAACCTCTTCATTATCCTTGTACCATTGCACAACGGGCAATGGACTGCCATCGACCACACATTGCAATACCAATGGCTCGGTTTCATGAACCTCCTTCGTGGGTTCCAAATTCTTGACGAACACTGGTGATAAGTCCATCATGGTTAGCTTGAATGGAGCCTCAGTGGTACCAATGTCATTGGTAGCCACAGCAGCATATTTAGCCACATCGGATAAACTGAAATGTAGAACCTCAAATTCGCTGGAAATTTGATCGCTGGCCACCACTTTTTGGGTGATGCGATACAAAGGTTCTCCAGTGGTCTTATCCTTGGCATTGACATCGATCGGTTTGCCATCCTTGGTCCATTCCAATTTGGGCAATGGGACACCATGGACGACGACTTCAGTCAAGGCTGGATGATAATCATGGACCACCTTGTCTTCGGGTGGGGTGATGAAGGTGGGTTTCTCAACTGGAAAAAATGAAGAGCGGATTTGTTAGAGAAGACTCCGAACATTTCTTAAAAAATAATTTGGAGGATTTGGAACTGAGGCTATTTTTTTGCTATAGAAAAAATTCGGTCCTCAGTGCTTTGAGGCCATTTTTAAAGAAAAAAAAACGGCCCATGTTTCTATAAAAAATCGGACCTCAGCATCCTGAGGATAGTTTTTCTTATGTAACAAATTCTGACCTCAAAATACGGACCTCGGCTTCTCAGATTCTATTTTTTATTTTTATTGAAAAAATCGAACCTCTTTTGTGTAAAAAATCTGACTTCAATTTCCTTCTACAGGAAAAAATTTGGTCCTCTGTTCTCTTTCAAATAAAAATCTCCTGGGAAAATTCTACTCACCATGCACATTAAGTTGGAAGTCCTGGGCGGTTGTGCCTTCATTATTGACAGCAGTCAAAGTATAGGTGCCACCATCATTCGAAGCAACGGTCTGGAAGACCAGACGATATTTGTTGGCATCAACATCGGCAATGACTTCGCAATTTTCATTGTTGCACAAATTCTCATTGCCACGGCTCCAGGTGACCTTAGGCTTAGGATTGGCCTTGACCACAACATCAAAGCATACCGTTTGTCCTGGCATGCAACCTTGGTCCTTGAGGCCAATAATTTCTGGTTTCGACAAAATATCAGCAAAGCAGCCAATATTGACTTTGCCGTATTTGTTCTCCAATTGCAGTTCGTAGCGGCCATTATCCTCATGGATGGCTGTAAAGAGAAATCGAAAAACAAAATTAGAAAAAATGGGGTGAGGATAACCCTATAAAACTTACTCTCATCAATGTTCAGGGTACAGGTGTACTCCATCAAGCCATGTTGCAGCTCCTTCTTGTCGACACTGATCTTGACATGACGATCATTGCTATCAATTGGCTTGCCATCCTTGAGCCACACCATTTTGGGTTCAGGATCAGCGGTAAAGACCACAGGCAGATGCAAAGGTTTACCCTTGTGGGTACTGATGTCTACCAAGCCCTTCTTGACAATGGGTTTGCGATATTCGGCAACACCTATAGGGGGTTTCCAGGGAGTTTAGAATTTTATTTTTTATGTGAGATCGAAGTCTTCTTACCCGACAAGGAGAGTACACCTTGGTGGGACTTTTCTCCCACCTTGTTCTTAATGACTACCTTATAGGTACCGGCATCCTCCAATTTCAAGGATTTCTTTTCCAAACGGTATTTGTCCTGCAATGAGAAGGAAGAAAACAATAAAGAAAAATTCTTAGGAACTGAGGTCCAATTTTCTCTATGGAAAAAGTAGCCTCAGGAGAGTTGATTTCCGCTGAGGTGTCCTTTTCTATATAAAAAAAATTCTTAGGCCTCCTGAGGTGTCTTTTTTTATAGGAAAAAATTCCTCAGGTCTCCTGAGGTGTCTTTTTCTATAGAAAAAAAATCTTCAGGTCACCTGAGGTCTCTTTTTCTATAGGAAAAAATTCCTCAGTTCACCTGAGGTCTCTTTTTCAATAGGAAAAAATTCCTCAGGTCACCTGAGGTCTCTTTTTCTATAGGAAAAAATTCCTCAGGTCACCTGAGGTCTCTTTCTCTATAGAAAAAAATTCCTCAAGTCACCTGAGGTCTCTTTTCCTATAGAAAAAAATTCCTCAGGTCACCTGAGGTCTCTTTTTCTATAGAAAAAAATTCCTCAGGTCGCCTGAGGTCTCTTTTTCTATAGAAAAAATTTATCCGGTCTCCTGAGGTCTCTTTTTACAGAAAAAATTCCTCAGGTGTTTTTTTCTATCAAAAAAAATCCTCAGGATCCTTCAGGTCTCTTTTTTTATAGAAAAAAAAAATCCTCAGGTCCACTGAGTTCTCTTTTTCTATAGAAAATAATTCTCAGCCCTCTGAGAACCTATTTTTCTAAAAGTTGGTCCTACTTACCCCATCCACAATAATGGCGGTATTGGCATCTGGCTTAATTTCCTTGCCATCCTGATACCAAATAGCCTCTGGCTTGGGTATGCCATGGGCAATAACCTCATATTTCAAGGGCACGGATTCATAGGAGTGCATCTCCATAATATCCACATGGTCAATGGTGGGTTGGGCTGTAAAGATAAAATTATAATTAGATATTCGTTCCGCAAGCTCCCTCCCCCATCCGCTACTTACTTAACACATTAACTTGACACTTGGATACACTTTCGCCGACCGAATTCTTGGCACGAACCTCATATACACCGGTATCCTGAGGCTTACACAAATTCAAGGTCAGGTTATATTCCTCATAGCGCTTCGTATTGTGGCTGATCTTCAAACGGGCATCAGCCGAGCACTCCTGGTCATTGATATACCATTTAACGGTGGCCTCGGGCTCCGAATAGATTTCAGTATCCAGAGTCAAAGTGTGGCCCTCCTCAATTTCAACATCCTTCAATTGTTTCTTGATCTTGGGCTTGCCTGTGGATAAAAAATCATAAGTTCCCATTCTCAGCCCCTCCTGATGTCACTTTCTACTTACAATTCACGGTAACAATACACTCATTCTGCAGTTTGCCATAATCGTTCATAATGACCACACTATAGGTACCCTGCAGGGCAGTGGTGACCTGTTTCATAATCAACTTGTAGTCATTGCCCTCTTCTTGGCGGCGGAACTCGTTGCGCTTCTCATCGATCTCAATGCCATCGATGTACCATTTGATGCCCGGTTTGGGATAGGCATCAACGGCCACATTGAGGGTCACATCAGTATCACCCTCGGTGACAATGATATTCCTCAAGCTCTTGGTGATCTCCGGCGTACACTTGATCAGCAAATTAGTTTTGCTGGTGGTAGAGCCATGCTCATTCTCAGCCTTTACCGAATATTCACCAGCATCGACACGGGTCACTCCGGTGATTTTCAAAGTATACGAATTACCATCCTGGATCACGGAGTACTTCTTATTGTCGATGGTGATCTGCTTACCCTCCTGGTACCAGGTCAACTTGGCCTCGGGATAGGCATCAATGCGGCAGCTCATCAGCACCGTTTCCTTTTCACCATGGACATATTCCTCTTCAAGGGACTTCACGAACACCGGCTTGGAGTGCACAGTGCAATTCCAGTATTCCGATGTTTGACTCAAATCATTGGTGGCCCTCAGGGAGAAGTTGCCGGACTGAGACAACTTGATCTTCTCAATTTCAATGGTGACCTTTTCGGTACTCTTGCCCACAGTGGTGGAGCTGATCTTGACATTCTTCTCCGTGGTGATGTCCTTACCATTATTGGTGAGATTCAAAATGGGCTTGGGATAACCCTCAACCTCCACTTCGATGCGCACCGTCTCCTCTACATTGCAAACTATGTCTTTGACCTTCTTAATTTTGGGTGGTGCCTTCACGACCAAAGTGATCTCCGAACTATCCTCGCCCAATTCGTTCATGGCGTGGATGGTGTAGAGACCAGCATCTTCGGTGGTGGCATTCTTGATCAGCAAAGACATACTTTCGTCACTCTCGTACAAGAACTTGTGGCGATCGTCGATTTCGATCACCTGACCCTCGTGCTTAACCTGCACGGCGGGCTTGGGGAAACCCTTGCATTGCATTTCCAATATGGCAGTGCCTCCTACGTGCGTGTTAGCTTCACGGTGTTCAATGACCAGGGTGGGTTTTTCGGGTTCCCGGTACAGGGTCTGTACAGAGCCTTGAACCGAAAGCTCAGCACTACAGGAGATATTACCAGTACTGGTCTGTGCAACGCAAGTGTAGATGCCGGCATCCTCAGGTTTGACATGCTGGAAGACCAAGGCGAGGGAGTCTTCATCTTCGCCGAACAGGACCTTGAAACGTTCCTCCGGGTCGAAGGGTGCGCCATTGCGTTTCCATTGGAAGACAGGTTTCTCGCCGGGTTGCAATATTTGACCGGCCAACGAGCCGAAGGGATTTTTGTCCTCTGTGAGAAAATAGGTAAAAATTAAATAAAAATTAGAAGTCCAAAGAATAATCTATAGAAAAAAATTCCTCAGACCTCTCAGGACTCTTTTTTCTATAGAAAAAATCCTCAGAAATTTAAGGACTCATCTTTATATAGAAAAAAATTCCTCAGACCTCTGAGGACTCTTTTTGCTATGGAAACAAATTCCCCAGACTTCTGAGGACTCTTTTTTCTATAGAAAAAAATTATTAAGACCTCTGAGGACTCTTTTTTCTATAGAAAAAAATTCCTCTGAGGACTCTTTTTTTCTATAGAGAAATTCCTCAGACCTCTGAGGACTCTTTTTTCTATAGAAAAAAATTCCTCCGACCTCGTAGGACTCTTTTTTCTATAGAAAAAAATTTCCTCAGACCTCTGAGGACTCTTTTTTCTATAGAAAAAAATTTCCTCAGACCTCTGAGGACTCTTTTTTCCTATAGAAAAAAATTCCTCAGTTCCGCTTAGGACTCTTTTTTCTATAGAAAAAAATCCTCAGTTCAGCTGAGGACTCTTTTTTCTATAGAAAAAAATCCTCAGTTCCGCTGAGGACTCTTTTTTCTATAGAAAAAAATTCCTCAGTTCCGCTGAGGACTCTTTTTTCTATAGAAAAAAATTCCTCAGTTCCGCTGAGGACTCTTTTTTCTATAGAAAAAAATCCTCAGTTCCGCTGAGGACTCTTTTTTCTATAGAAAAAAATTCCTCAGTTCCGCTGAGGACTCTTTTTTTCTATAAAAAACTTCTTTAGACCTCAGAGGGTGCTTTTTTCTATAGGAAAAACTCCTCAGATTTCTGGGGACTCTTTTTTTCTATAGAAAAAAATTTCCTCAGACCTCTGAGGAACCTTTTATCTATACTCAGACCTTCGAGGACTCTATTCCGAAGGATATTCCATCCTATATTTTTTATTATTTTTTTTTCTTTTTGATTCCCCACTTACCCACTGTGGTGACCTGAGCTTCGCACAAGGCCTCACCAAACTTATTCACGGCCTTGCACATATAGGCGCCAGCATCCTCTTTCAAGACCTCATTGATTACCAATTCATAGTAACCCAAATAGTCCTTTTCACGGACAATGTTAATGCGATCCGATTCCAAAATTTCTTGGCCATCCTTGAAGCTGTGCGGGAGTCAAAGGAGAGGAGATTTAAAATTTCTACTTTATTTCAGATGTGTCGGAACTTACAATTGCACTTTGGGCTTTGGGTCGCCCATAATTTTAATCAAGAAACGGAATTGGGTATTTTCCAACATCTCAGCATCCTTGAGGCTGCAGAGGAAAATGGGGGCCACATTTGTTTGGCTTTCATCGTGGCCGGCGGCTGGAAAAAAAAGAAATTTAAGGAAAATATTTTTTTTGTTTTGAAAAATTTACTTACCTTGGCCTACAGCCAATTGGGCGGTACATGAGGTGACTTCGGCACCTGTGCTGGCCTTAGCAGTGTAAGCGCCAGAATCGCGTTCACTGCAAATCGGAAAAATAATATAATTTAATAAAAATTAATATTCATGAAAACCCCTTTCCGCTTACCTGCAATTTTTAATGTCCAAACGATATGAATTCATTGGAGCCTCGGTTTGTTGTATGCGATCGGCTAATACGTCATCCAAGGGTTTATTGTCTTTTAGCCAAGTGACTTTGCCAGGTTTTTCTTTGTATTGGATTTCAAAATGGGCGGGTTCGCCAGCTGTGGTTAACAAAAATTTTTAAAGGAAAGGGGGAGGGGAACAAAAACAACAAATTAAAAAAAAATGGGAATAAATGATCCGAGGGTCATTTTTGTTTCTTTTTTTAATATTTAATAAATATTCTGGAGCTCTACAGCATTTTTAACTACAGCACTACTACTTGTGGTTCTTGTGGTATTTTTTTTTTCGTTTTTAACAAAAATCAAAAACAGGTTTCAAAAAATTGTTTCAAAAAAATTGATATTCAAAAATTTGATTTTTTTTTTTTTTTTTTTTTTTGTTTTTCAAAATTTGGAATTTTGAAAATTGTTACCACTTACGTTGAACCTGTACGCATCGTAGCATACGAATGACGAAAGGTTTCTCAATGGATTTAGGTGCACGGCCCTCCATCATTAAGGATGTGGTGGAGCGTGCTCCGATGGTACGATTAGATGCTACAGAGAGACGGGAATAAGGACGATCTTCTAATTGACTTTCAGGACGTAGTGTAAGTGTGCTGCCAACTAATGCATTTCTTGGTGCCTTTAATGCATCTACATCGGCTAGACTATCGTAGGAGGCTCCTCTCGAAAAATCGCGTGGTCTACTGCCTTGGGTGGCAATTTTGTTTTTCGTTTTCAAAAGGCAATTGACCAGGCAATTTTTGTTCAGGACCAAAAAATAGTGTTCACACCAGCCAGCCAGCCAGTCAGTGGAGGCACATGTGCAGGAGCGGGTGGTACGGCATTGAGGAGGTGAAGCAGCAACAGCAGCAGGGTAGCAATTCAAAGCCATTCGGTTTTTTTGTAGATAAATATGTTTGTGTAGGTGGATATGTATGTGTGTAAACGTGCATGCCGCGCAAAAAATATAATTTTGGTTTTCAGGATCAGGATCGAATTTTTGGTTTTCGGATTTCATAGCATAGGCAGATGATTTAGCATGGTTTTTGTTTTGGTTTTCAAAAATAGAAAAAAAGAAAAGCTTAGAGTTAGAAAAAAATATGGGAAAAGGATTTCAGGACATTGTTTGTTAGTTATAAGGACCATAACCGCAGACATAGTTCACCACTTGAGACAAACATACAAACATTTTTTTATAAATAGACAATTCCGATTTTTGTAGACATACACAATGACAAATAAAATTATTAATAAAAACGATATGACATTTTGAAACAAAACACACACACATAGAGAACTATAAATTTTCGTAAGACAGCACAAACATGAGAAATTTTTGTCCGATTTTGACAACATAAATTATGTCAAGGTTCAGAGGAGACCTTGAAGAAAATTCCAAAAGTGAGAAAACACAGCAACAATCATATTTACATTTGAAAAAAAAAATAAACTTTTCTAAGAAATAAAAAATTTCGTTGTTCGTCCGGGCCGAACTCTTTATACCTACCAGAACTATCGCAAAATTTGGACCGATTTTGATAATTTTTGGTAGGACGATTTAACTCCCAATGAGAACCTAATATACTAAATTACGGCAAATTTGATTGACAAACATGATCAATCTCCCCAAAATTCCGCATTTTGAGAGGTTCCGTTATATGGGGGGTTACCATAAAAATTTGAGCAATATTTATAATTTTTGTTGAGAAGTTTTCCTACCCAATGAGAACTCATAATACCAAATTACACCAAATTCGGATGAATAACGTGTCCAAACTGACCAAAACATCGAAATTCGGAAGGTACCCTTATATGGAGACTACCCTAAAAAGTAGACCAATATGGATAATTTTTGGTGCGAAGTTTTCTTACCCAATGAGAACTCATAATACCAAATTACACCCAATTCGAATGAAAAACGTCCCCAAACTGACCAAAATATCGAAATGCGGAAGGTACCCTTATATGGAGACTACCCTAAAAAGTAGACCAATATGGATACTTTTCGGTGGGAAGTTTTCTTACCCAATGAGAACTCATAATACCAAATTACACCAAATTCGGATGAAAAACCTGTCCAAACTAACCAAAATATCGAAATTCGGAAGGTACCCTTATATGAAGATTAACCTAAAAAGTAGGCGAATATAGATACTTTTTGGTATGAAGGTTTACCACCCAATGAGAATTCATAATACGAAATTACAGCCAATTAGAATGAAAAACGTGTCCAAACTGACCTAAATATCGAAATTCGGAAGGTACCCTTATATTAAATAAATTAAAAAATTAGGCCAATATGGACATTATTTGGTTGGAAAGTTTACCACTCAATGAGAACCCAATATACCAAATTACAGCCAATTCGGTTGAAAAAGTGCCCAAGCTCCCCAAAATATCGAAATTTTGACTGCACGCTTATATGGGGAGTATCCTTAAAAGTGTATCAATATTGATAATTTTTGGCAGGAAGATGTTCTGTCCAATGAGAACTCAATATACCAAATTACAGGCAATTCGATTGGAAAATGAGCCCAAGCTCCCCTAAATACCGAAATTTCGCGGTACCCATATATGGAGGCTACACAAAAATTTTAACCAATATCAATAATTTTTGGTGAGAAGATTTGATACCCAATGTTTACTCAAAATACCAAATTACAGCCAATTAGATGGGAAAATGAACCCAAGACCCCAAACATATCGAAATTTTCGGTGTAACGTTATATGGGGACAAGCCTTAAAAGTGTACCAATATTGATAATTTTTGGTAGGAAGATGTTCTGTCCAATGAGAACCCAATATACTAAATTACAGCCAATTTGGTTGAAAAAAGTGTCCAATCTGCTTATAATATCGAAAAATTAGGGGTATGGGGACTATCCTAAAAAATGGACCAATGTAAACAATTTTTGGTAGGACGATTTTCTACCCCATGAGAACCCCAAATACCAAATTACAGACAATTCCCTTAGGAAAAAGTGACCAAAACTCCTAAATTCTGAATATTTAAGGGTACTTTAACATGGAAGCCACCCTGAAATTTGGATCAATATCAAGAATTTTTCGTAGGAGAGTTTACCACCCAATGTGAACTCAACACACCAAATTAAAGCCAATTCGTATGAAAATAGAACCCAATCTACCGAAAATCAGAACAACAGAACAATTGGACCAATATCGATAATTTTTTGTAGGAAAAATTGTAACTCGAAGATAATCGAAAATAATAAATTAGAGTCAAATCGGTTGAAAAACGTGTTCATTCTCCTCAAAATAACAAAAATTTAGGGGTACTGTTATATGGGGGCTACCCTTTATAGTGGACCGATATCGACAATTTTTGGTAGGGAGATTTGGTACCCAATGTGAACCCCAAAATACCAATTTACACGAAATTCGGTTGAAAACTGTAAACAAAATCTACAAAATACCGAAATTCGGAAGGTACCTTTCTATGGGAGCTACCCTAAAAAGTGAACCAATATCAATAATATCAAGAATACTGTCATAAGGTGTTCTAGATAAGATGCTCAGAAGGTTTTCTAGTTATTAAAAATTCTTAGAAGCTCTTTAGAGACATTTCAGTTATAGCATTCTCAGAAGATTCTCTAGCTATAAGTAACCTTTACAAGCTTTTCCAGCTGTAGGGTTTCTATTAGCTACACTTAAAGGTATATTAGACATTTCAGTTACAGCATTAAGATCAATTATCAAGGCTCAAATAACTTCTAAACATCTTCAGAGGATTCCTTGGAAGTCTTCTCAGCTATATATCTAGATCTGACCTAAGAATTTCTAAAAATCTGGAAAATAAGCTATCATTTCTTATGAAAAAATAGGTCTTTGAGCTTTTGGGTCCCACAAAAACCCCCTACACACAGAGACACACCTCCAAAAACACAGAACATAGAACAAAAAGAGACTCGCACACACATGACTACATGTTTTGCTTACTGTCACGTTGTCTACGCGATGTGACCGACAAATAATCCTCCGTACGGGCCATACTATGTTCTCGAGTACGAACCCCACTATACATCGATTCGGGATAATCATCCTCATAATCACTGAGACGTGAAGGTTCCTCAACAATTTCATAAATCGGACGTTTGTGCTTTATCGGCGGAGTGAAGATGTGAATGAAATCACGCGATGAGGCCTTATTCACGGTATCCACGGCATATTTGGTGGAATCTTTCGATTTCATCACCGTCGATTTAATGGAGCGGATTTTTTTCTTCGCATTTCTCAGCGAATTATCAAAATCATCTGAGACATAGATACCCTCGAGGAAATTGGCCGATTTCATTTCCAGGGCTTCGTTGTGGACCACAACTCGAGGTATTAGAGTTATGGGTGGTGGAGGTAAGGGTACGGACTTGACCAGTAAAATTTCAATAGAGGTTTCATAGGCAATGCGTGGCAGGGGTTGAAAGAAGCCGGGCATGCGTACATAATGCGGCGGGAGAGGTGGTAGCGGAGGCTCAGAACCATCACTAAAGCCATCACGATTCTGTTGGATACTGGCCAAGCGACTGTTCCATTGGGCAAGCGAAGCACTGTCGCGTATGGTATAGACATTGGAGGCGCCTGAACCACCAGCGGTGTTACCTTCACCGCCAGCAGTTTGGCGCATAGATTCCTGATAGCCAGCAATGTCCGTAAGCTCTATGGGTTTGTGGCGGGGTACTAGTTCTTGTGTAACTGTAATTCGAGGCAAAACAATGGGCTGGGGTTCCTCGGCCAGAGAAGCGGCAGCGGGAGTAGCAGCAGCAGCATCAGCTGTAGGTGGAGGAGGATTTTCTTGTTCAGGCATTTCGTTCTTACCAAGATTTTCCGGTTGTTCGGGTTCTGGTTGTTGTTGTTGTGGTGGTTCTGATAATGATACAAATGATGTTTCGATTGAAGCTTTGATGTCTTCGGACCTAACCGTTGTCTGTTGTTCGGCGGTCTTGGCAACAGCCTCTGACTGTTGCAGTTGTTGGGCAACGGATTCAAGGGTTTTCTGGGTAGATGAGGTGGTGGTGGAAGTGGCTGTGGTTTGGGTTAGGGTTTGTTGTTGACTAATTTCCTTCGAAGTTTGCTGCTGAACTTCGGAGCTTTTCTGCACCTGCGAAGTTGTTTTGAATTCCTTGAGTTTGGCTTCGAAGATCTTGTGATCCTCGGTAATTTGTTTGATTTCCGAAGCTTTTTGGGCAGCCTCAGCGGAGCTTTGCTGCTGGGTGCTTTCCTTTAGCCCTCTGAGCTTGGCCTCTAAAGCTTTTTCGGCTTCGGTGGCTTGTTTGTTTTCGGCAAACTTTTGAACTTTGGTTTCCGTAACAGTGGAGATCTCTGAGGTTTTTTGCAATTCCCCTTGAGTGGAGGCGGGAGCAGCAGCAGCAGCAGCAGGGGTGACTTTGGCAACTGTGGTGGTGGTGCTGCTTGAAGGGGTAGCTACTTTTTTGGGTTCTGGTGATTTGACACCCTTCGAGGGGACTGTTGGCGGTGGTGTGGGTGTTGATTTCTTGGGTGTTTCCCGTTTAATGGGTTCGGGACTTTTAACTTTTTCGGGTGCGGGAACCTCAGGCTTTGGTGGTTCCGCAACACTTTCAGTTTTGGTTTCCTGACTTGCGGAGATATTCGACTGCTTTTGCTGATCTACAATCCGATCATTTTGTATCAACACTTTTTGTTGTTCTTGGACCGATTGACTCTGTGTGGTGGTGGTTTGTTCTTTACCATCCGATTTTTGCGTGACCTGGGTAACCACCTCGGATCTTTGTTGCACCTGCTGTTGTTGCGTTTCCTGATTCGATGCAATGGATTTTTGTACCAATTTCGTGCGATTATATAACTCTATGGATTCCTGTTCCAAACGTAGAAGTTCCTGATATTCCGCCTGGTAGCGTTCCTTTTCTTCTTTGGTCAAGAAATAATCCTTGGCCACATCTGAGGCCCGAACACTACTATCCGGATTATAGGCCTCCGCCTTTTGCGGTAAACCCAAACAAGTATCTTCCAAAACTTGCGACGAATCTATGCGAATATCATCGGCCTTATGCTCTTGCAGGGTAACTTCCTTTTCCAAGTGGGAACAGATCTCATTAAACCATTTATGTCGTAATTCCTTATCGTCCTTGTGGGGTTTCAGGCAAATCGGTAAATTTCCACAATCTTTGGCATTCGGTTTGGCTGTGAAGCGTATTAAATTCTGTACTTCATCCTCTTCCACAAGACAATCTGGCAGTTTGATAAGGTCCTGCAAAGCGAATATTGATTTCTGATCGCTGACCTTGCGTACCTTGCAAATGAGTAGCCGAGATTTGAAGTGGAAAATGTAACGTTCGTGTGCCTTCGCCTCCTTATCGATCAGAGTCCACCATTCGTGTTGCAGCAGACGTCCGAGTTTACCGATATTACCGCGATATCCTTCGATGCTATTCAATAGTGCACTGTCATAGGCCCGACTGGGGACGCTAAGCATTAACTCTAAAGCTTTTTGGATATCTTTGATGTTTTCTTTTAAGCTCAGTGAGAATTTAAGCAAATCCTGTGAAGTAGAACAAAGTTTTTGGATTTCTTCAAGTCACTTTTATTCGTAAGATCTTGAGTGTGAGGGAGGAATATTCTGGGGAGTTTGGGGTAGGAAAGCGTATACTTTTGTTCACTAGTGTGAATTTCTTGGAGGATATTTGTGTGATTCTGGTTTTGTAAGTGTGGGAGGATTTTTAAGGTGCGATATTTAGGAGATTTTGTAGTAGTAGGTATATACTTTTGCTCGCTAGTGTAAAAATTCCAGGGAGAATATTTTTGGGTGTCTCTGATTTTGTATAGTGTTTTTACATGAGGAATGGTATTCAAAAGTGGGATATTTATGGATTTTGTGTGTTTATTGGAGGATATTTGTGTGGTTCTGATTTTCTAGAGTTGTTGTAAGTGTGAGAAGAGATCAAAGGTGGGTTATTTAACAGTTGAAGGCATATACATTTACTCGCTAGTGTATAATTCTGGGGAGGGGGTTTCCTTTGTGAGTCACGAATTTTCTGGAGTAGTTCTAAGTGTTGGAGGTAGTAAAAATTGGATATTTTTGGGAATTTGGAGTAAACATCCTATACTTTTGTTCGTTAGTGTACTTTTCTGAATACTGTTAATTGTGAGTGTGTGTGTGTAGAAGTAATGTGTCAATTGGGAATTTTTCTTCTAAGCTGAGAGGTTTTTGGAACAGTGTTATTGGTGCTGAGGGGAAAAGTGTGTCTAGTTTTGTACAATACTGTAAATTGGTTTTATAAAATGAAATTGGAACATTTGTGTGTGTGCACAATAATGTTAATGGATTTTTAATGGAAACAAATACATTCTGATACATTTATGCGGAATTTCTCTTTAGGTTCGGTTATGGTAACTACCCCTTTTCCATTTCGCTACTTTAAACGTAAATTTGTTGTAAAGTTTAAAATACCCTCGGTACGGTAAAATCCGCCACAAATAACCCGATTCATAAGTACCACACTTGTGTACGGTAAATAGCTTTGGGTTCTATTATGGTAGCTACCTACATTCCCCTTCAATTCTTTTATTGACGTCTGATTTTCCGTTGACTACTTTTGGTGTAATTTTTTGCAGAAAGGACACTTATGGCCGTTCTGTTATGGTAGCTATTCCTGGAGAAGAACATGAAGAAACCTAGACAAAGCACCTAGTCGAGTTTCAAAAGCAGTCAAGAAAACGATACAACTCATAACTTCTTGACGCGCCATTGACTCTTCACATTGCTTGAATTCACTGCCAAGGGAAGCATAGAGAGAGAATCGCTCAAATTGCTAAAGAGCTTCACGCCCTTCGAACTAAAGTATTGAACTTTCACATGTATATCGGACTAGGTAATTAAGGCAAAATGGGCAAGACTTCTAGAACACTACAAGCACTGCAGAAAAACACGTCGGTATAAGGTCTATAAAGGCCTCTATCTTCGACAAAAGGCCTATTAAAGCTTCTATCGTTGATATAGGTCATTTATCAAGCGTAGAAGCGTCTATCGTCGATAAATGCCTGCAAGGGCTTCTATTGTCTACAAAAGGATTCTATTGCCCACAACAAGGAACCATTTGATATGACAAAGGTAAAAGATGAATGTATGTGAAATATTATGAGAACTTTTACAATTTGCAAATAGCGAGCAAAAGCCACATTGGTTGTTCCAGAGGTACACCAGCAGATAGTCCTTGAAACGATGAACATCGAGTGAAAGGAACATCCAGCAACTTTACGATTAGTCATTGAAATCCCAAGGCCATGTCAGTTGGTAATCCACAGAGCCATCTACAAGGAAACTCTTCGCAAGAAGTGGAACATGCAGTTTCCGGGCAAACACCTTGAGAACTTTGAATATCATATCAAATTATGTCGATTACGCTCAACTTAAAAATGCGCAGAAGGTCTCCAGAAGGTGAGGATCAATTGTAATGGTAAGGGAAACAAGGGGAAAGAGATTGACTGAGGAGTTTCCCACCCTACTCACTCGTCTTGTTCGCCACTTCACCTGAGAGTAGTGAGAACCCTTTGGTAAAGTTGCTGGAGCTCTTTCTAACTCTTCTTGTGTTTATTCTGATGCGTGAAACCTGAAACAGGTCGAAATATTTTTTGCTCATTTCTCTGAATGGCTAACCAAACGCTGTCAAATACTAGGAAAATAGTATTTCCCTAATCAACATTGTCCGAAGCAACCAGTGCTGTGTAAGGTTCAAAGCCACTATTCCGCCAAAGGAACGATCGGTACTAGATTCCTTTCTTTCGTTTATTTAGTTCCTTTTGTTACAGTAGTTCATATTTGCTACGGTTCATCTAGTTTATTTTGTTCCAACCGGACATCTAGGTCTAGGTCTTTCCGTTAATTAAACGAATAAGCAGACATGAGCCAATGAACTATGGAACTAAATGAATGACCTTGTTTATTTTGCAGAGCAAACCAGAGGAACGAAACTTCCATACTCTAATTCTATGTCTTATACAATTCCTGCCGTAAGAGATTCATCCTCTCCAATGACAATACAGCATGTGTTCAATTATTTATCTGCTTATGCTGCCAGGATTTTAGGTTGTTAAAAAGGTATACCCCTAGTGTAAAGTTTTGCTCTTTTGTGTGAATTTCTACGTCCGATTATTTCAAATGTTAGTTAACTTATTATTGGGGAGTCGTAGGGGAAAGTGTGTTAACATTTTACAAATTTTTTTGTGAAAGTGCATAATTTTGTTCGCTAGTGTAAATTTATTGAACGATTTCTAATGTGTAGATTTGGATTTAGTACGTATTTTTAAACACTACTGTATTTTTGCTCTTTAGTGTAAAGTGTTTCATAGAGGTAAGATTGAATATTTATTTTTTCACTTTGATCGTTGTATTTATGAGATGGATGTGCGTCTAGTTTTGTACACTACTGTAATATATTTTGTTCGTGTCTACTGGGATGGATATTTTAATTCAGTGTATTTTCAGCATTGTAAATTTATGTTCTTGTGGCTGTGTATGATATTAATAATTAATTCAATGGAAGTGTATTTATGTCCTCTAGTGTAAAATAGGATTTTATGAAATATTTCCAAAAAGGGAACATTTAAAATATTATTCTTTTTGGAGACTGTTATTAAGGATTTGGTGTATGGAATGTGAATAATTTTGTACACTACTGTTAATATTCAACTACTTGCTTAGAATGGAAATTTGGAGGAGTATGGAAAGTGGGCATATATTTTTTGTTGGACTAACGATATTTTTTCTTTAAGGATGGTTTGTATTTCGAATACAATATTTTGTGTGTTTGTTTCCAAATGTCACGCGTTGGAGTGTGTGTGTGTGTATACATGTAAGCTTTTTGATTGCGTACATATGTATGTGAAGACAAGCTTTTAAGCAAGCTTTCTAAACATATGTGTATTTGGAGCTACACTGTGAAAACGATGTATGTTTGAATGTTGTTGATGTGCAAACGCGTGATTTGTGCTAAATTTTGTTGTACAAGTGATATTTTTATTGTTGTTGTTGTTTTTTTTTTTTTTTGTAATGTTTGTTCCAAAAAGTAATGGTTTTTTGTGGTTATGTTTTAATCTGCTACGTTCTATGTAAGCCATTGAGGCGGTTTTTTATTGTAGATAGTAGGATAATCGGGGGTATTTTTTTAGAAAGACTATTGAAGTTGTGGACATACATTTCTTACAATTAAATTTTAAATTTTGTTGGTAAATATAATAAATAACTTGGAGCTGCTGTTCTTGGTACCAAAATAAAGTTTTTTTTATTTAGATTCAATAATATATTATTTGAAAAGATATACGATTCAAGAATGTCCACCATATACCATCAAAAAAATATATTTGGGAAATATTTTTCTGAAAGTCAGAAAAAATTATAATGCTCTTTACAAAAAAAAACTGATACAAATACAAATCAATACATTCCCAAATAATTTTTGAAAAACTTCACGCCACGCCATGAGAAAATATTTTATAAAAAAATGTAAGCTTTCAGAAAATATGTTTTGAAGTAAAACTACACTTACAGAAAATACATTTTTAAGGTCCAACAAATTTGAAAATATAAAAGAAAATCTATAAATTTCTAAATGTTAAAATAAATATGTTTTTTTTAATTTTTTATGGCATCAGAAAAATTATTTTATTATAATTCATGCCCTTGGACACTACTTGAAAAATACATACATATATTCCTCCAACAAACCTCTTACCTGAAGGCCTATCATCCTATACATCGACTTTAGGGACTCATTTTTTTATTCTTTAAATATTTTATACATTTAATTAAAAATATATATTTTCAAATATTAGTATTAAAAATTTAAAAATTAGGAAATTCGAAATTTTTATTTTTAAAATTTTTTAATCTAATTTTAAATTTTCTAATTTTGAAACATTCCTCCATTCATATGTCCATAGTTTCAATAGTCTTTCCATTGGGTAGAGGATATAAATAAATTGTGCTTAAATAACTAAATTGTAAAATGCTTGTGTAATTAAAATAAATATTTCAGAATACGTAAATATATAAAAATATACGTTTATGTGTGTATGTAAATATATTTTCAACGACATATAAACAAACAAAAAAAAAATTTCATTTGATTGACTTACCTTCAATAAGAGCTGATAGTCGTTAATTCGTTGAATGGGCAATTTCAAATGATCACTTAAAGATTTCTCGTCGTTATATCTAGTCGAAATTTCCTATAAAAAAATTTCAAGAAAATATTTGAAATATTTTTTTCAGTAGTCAAAAAAATAATTTAATTAAATTTCAAATTTCATTGATTTTTTGTAGAGGTGGTAGTATGGTAGAAATTGTTGTGATGGTATTTATTTTGTGCTTGTGTGTGTGAGTGTTTTTTATTTGAGTTGAAATTTATTTGACAGTGTCCATTGATTTTTTGATTGATGGCATTCAGGCATTGCAAAAATTTTGTTTTGAAATTTTTTCGAAGACTAAGGTTAATTAATTGTTTTTTTTTCATTTTCCTCATTTTCATATATACAAAAGAATTTTATTTTGTTTTTACACATTATTTTTTTAGACAGCATATTTTATTATTTTTTATTTATTTATTTAAATTTTTTTCTTGATTTGAAATTACTTGACTTGTGAATTTGTTTTGTGCTTCTCTTCTTCATGTGTTCTCAGTCCATTCATTTAATGATCTTGAGGATGGCAAAGAAGATGATAAAGATATCGCTGATGATGCTGCTGTTTCTGGCGGTGGTGATGGTGCTGCTGGTTGGTAATGGTTGTTTGCTGCCCACCCACACCATCCGCACCAGAATGTTAAGGTCTATTTTTAATTTTAATTTCAAACTTTGTTTACGATGTGATTTTTTTCTTTTCTCTTTTTACACCCACAATTTGCCAATGTGTTCACACAAAAAAGCAAAAAAAAACAGAAGAAAAACAGCAGCAATAATCATTTGGCAAAATTTTCACTCGAACATTTTTCATTTCAATTTTTTTTTTGTCTTTTTTTCAGTATCATTTTTCCTTGCTTTAGCACTGTTCTGTTTCAATCGAAATGTTTTTTTTTTTTTTTTTTTTTGCTTTTGTATTTTCTGCAACAATTTTCTTTTTGGCTTTAATGAGTTTGCATTTTCATTTGAACTTTTCATTATATTATTTGTTGTTGTTGTTTTGCATTTTCTTGTTGTTAAGTAATTTTATTTTCAGTTTTTTCTGTTTTTTTTTTTTTTTGCAGGAATTTTTGTTTTTGTTGTTTTTATTTTGTCGGCAATTAACAATGACATAACTCATCAACAGATTGTATTTTCCTTTTCAACAAACTTTTTATTTTTCTTCTTCACGAAATGTTGATGTATTACAAAGATAATATTTAAATTTATCTAAATTCTTTCAACACGGTTGGAATGCGTTCAAAGAAATATTAATGTGTATATTTTATGGATAGCAATGTCATTTAATTTTTATTATTTTTTGTTTTAATCCTGAAATAAAAATTCAAACTTCATGTTAAAATACATATTCTAAAAAACTCAGATCTATATTTGAAAAAAAGTAATTTTTTTTTTTTTAAATTCGCAGTTTTTTTTCGTAAGAGACATCATCGGCTTAGCGATTCTACAATTTAGATTTGAGATATATTTTCCATTTCTATGCGAAATCGTAGTCTATTTTCTATATTGAAAACAATATTTTTTTCAAATCCTCAGTAGCTATTTTTTCCATAGGAAAAAAATCAGAAGCACTTTTGAAATACTTTGTTTTTTTTTTTTTTAATTGAGAACCTCAGCCATTTTTGTCTATAAACAATATCGAATAACCTCAGGGGCTATTGAAAAGAACGATAGTCCTTTACAGACCTAATTACCTTTTTGTCCATAGAAAAACAATTCATAGATCCTCAAATGCTGTTTTTTTTATAGAAAATAAATGGTAGGGCATCGATGACTATTTTTGTTTTAAAAAGAATATCTCTAGAAAATCGTAAGTCTTCTAAGGACTGTATATTTTTCCAAATTCTCGCATCTATATTTCTTTAATATATTTTATTTCGAAGGAAATTTTTTTGCTTAGAAAAAAATAGAAGTATTCAGAGACTATTTGATTTTATAGATAAAAATCCAAGAAACTCATATATATTTGTCCAAGAAAATGTTTCGTAGACCCTCAGGACCATTAGGATCCCTAAATCCAATTTTTACTATAACAATGATATTTACAGTTCTCAGTGACTGTTTTTTTTTTTGTCTATCAACTAAAAACGTTAATGTTAGAGTTTGTATCGCCGCGAAATATTGGTCCTAGGCCCATATTTTAGTATAACGATCATCATGTATCCACTAGCTGAGTCGATCTAGACATGTGTGCCCGTCTGTCCATTATAATTTATAAATACGATACAGGCCACAATTCTGGGTCCATAATCGTAGGACGGGTTCTGGCCAAAGAAGACCCTATTGTTTTTGGTAATGATCCGTCAATATATAGAGGATGAAATGGACAAAAAACACTTTATTTGTATCTGTTTTTCTGGCCCCTCTAATTATGGCCCAAACTTCACGAAATTCTACTCAGATAAAGGGAATAATGCTTAGCGGGTCAGAAGGATACAGACTTGTGTGTGAAAAATTTAAAACAAAACTATTTTACGGGGAATATATTTACTGCTTTAGGATATTGACCCGAGAAGTTGATAGTAGTATACTAGAGGAGTGGTTGACCTTTATATTGATACCAATTTACAATTGCTGTACTCGGATGTTGAAGTTATACCTAATTTTTTACAGAGATCTACTCGTTCTGATTAACATTACCACACTAGAGGGTATATATTTCGCGCTGATCGATTTGAAATTTTACATGAAGTTGGGCTTGTCGATTTGAAATTTTACGTGAAGTTCGGATAATGGTAAAGGACGACGCCTTTCGGAAATTATGAGATGATATTCAGGGGATGAAATGGACCAAAAATTTAATGTTTGTATGTGTTGCTTTTCTTCAAGTCGCTCTTTAAACCACAATAATAAGCCGAACACCACATGGGAAGGTAATCTGGCCAACTAATTAGAATGGTTGTTTTTATCGGTCAATATTCTCATCTTATGGAGTAAATGTTGACAACGTGAGAAAATATTCGGAAAAATATACCAGGGTGCGAATGAGTAACTGTTGATCTCAAATCGTTCAAGAGGATGCAAATATCGTGAAATTTTGTTCAGACACGGAATCCGACCGGTCCCGGCTCCGTCCGACTATACTGCTCCGCTCACTGGTTTATATTTTCAGTGCTGCTTACTTCATGCCAAAAGTCACTGATCGAACAGTTGACAAAAATTAACGAGATCTATTTTTTGTTAATTTTGTTTTAATAAAAAAATTCAATTTTTTAGTAAGGTCTTGAGAATATTTTTTTATTGAAAAATATACCCTTATTTTTACAGAAGAAATAGCAATAGGCAATTTTTTATAAAAAAATAGTTGAAGTCTTAGGAGTCTTCATTAGTCCCCAAGAGGGGGACTATTTTTTATAGAACGGAACGGTAAGGGACTTTTTTCTATAGAAATGTTCGGTTTTGAGTCCACTGACTAAGACGAAATCTCAGCTAATTTCATTTTATACCACGAAAATGTGCCTCATAAAAATATCGGTGTTAGACCCTAAGTGTCTTTTGACAAAAAATGTATCAAACTTTTGAATCGATTTACAAATGTCCCTCCGTTTTGATGCGCACTATAACTATCGAGGGAAGTAATCGATTTTAGGCACATCATAATATATATATGTATATATATTCGAATTGAAGCCAAGTTCGAAGTTATATACTTTTCCCCACTACACATTCTCAACACTTTTTCCTGAAAAAAATATAAACCCTGTATTTTGTTCGAAGATGAAATTTGCTGATAAATTCCGCCTGGTATCTCTCCCACAAAGGGTTAAAATTTTTTATAAAATTTGTGAATTTCATATGAAGTGATCTGAAGCTAATACAGAAGTAAATTCGATGTGATCCAATAAAAAAAACTTGCACCGCATTTATAGGATTTTGAAGGGTGTCTAAATTATTTTATCTTTTTCCTTTTTTTTTTTTGGTTCAATTCTGGGAATTTGTGTCCTGATCTAAATGATCAACAACATTTTTCCAACAAGATTTTCAATTCCACATTTTTTTCCTATTCCAAGAATGTATGTATGTATGTATTTGACATTGAACGAGAACGATTCGGCAATTTGTTTCTATCAAAAAATCAATGTAGAATTTCCAGTTGACTGATGGCCATTTCGAACATGTTTGACAATATTGCGCCAAGAATCTGTTTCTCTTTGTGTGACGAGAAAAATGACAAATATTGACATTAATTTATAACAACATTGAAAATATTCAATATACATATATATAAAAAAGTATTAGATATACCGTTTTGCAATCAACAGCACTGGGCTGCAAAATGTCTGTTGTGCCCATGTGTAGTTATGCGAAACGGATAATTTATTCAAATCACCACCAATATTTTTATATCCTACACACACCTAAAAGATCCATCTTAGTTAGTCGATACATCTGCGTGTCCGTCCTTCCCTCAGCTTGTACCTTATAATTTTTAAACAATGTACAGTCCGCAATTATGAACCAATCGTTATGTGGGTTCGATTCTGTTCAAGGAAAACACAAATTTGGTAACAATTTTCGGATATATCTCTCTGATCGTTATATAGGCCTCAATTATACTCGAACACCACAAAATTAACAGCTCATTTGGGACCAGACCAAATTACATCAAAAACGTCTTTATTCTAAACTCAGCTATAAATTCATTTTAGAACTAAAATCGTATTATCTATATTCCTGGAAGGCCAATTTTTAATATATGTCGATAACAAAGAGAGTTATCAAAGTGAAAAATATTCTAAACGAAATTACAGTGTAACTCAGCGAACAAGAGTTAGTTGTAGTAATTATTAATTTGGACAAAATTCAAAATATATTACATAGTCAATATCAATCAAAATTTCTGAGAGATTCAAACAATGACCTTCCACAAGGCGGATATATTAAGTATTGTCATAGCACCACCTTGGCCCCGATTTTATGGAGAATTCAAATAAAATAATATAAATTTATACTCTGATGTCTCCAACAAGATGCTGCAACATCTAAGGTCGGTATAATAATTTATGACCCGCTCTTAGTTAGACCTTCCTCAAAAAACAAAGTGCGTGTGG